TCTCTCTCTCTCTCTCTCTCTCTCTCTCTCTCTCTCTTTCTCTCTCTCTCTTTCTCACTACTAAAAGAAAGAAGAAAAATAAAAGCTCCTCTCTTATAAGATGAAATAAGTAAGGTTGTGGAAACCGAATTTGTCGCAGATCCAGTCCGCCGACACCGCTTTCGACAGGCGCGGCACCGTCTCCGCCGCTCTACCATAGATACTACCAAGACTGCAACGCCGTCAACACCAGTGGCAATCTACCAATCACGTTGCACAAATACTGAGAATATCGAAATTCAAGGTCCCATCAGCGGGACCTTGAAGAACCCCACGGCGATCACTACGATCCAAACTTGGTTTACGTGAAGCAGGAGTGGATCCCTTCGACGGACGAGCTCGCCAAGGAGTGGAACTAAAAGTGTCACAGAGTAGATGGTAACGCGACATAATACACCACTCTTGAACTCGCCTTGCGGAAAATCGTTTCGGTAGAACATTTAGTTAGTCGTTGAGAACGCAATAGTTGCATAAGAAGCGACGGTACGAAGGGTACAACTATCGAGATTTCCTGGCAAGGTACGTCGGAATTCATTTGCAATATCGTTTCCCTCCTCATTAGGGGAGACTTGCAACGACACGCGTAACATCTTTATCTAATTTGTACATATTTAAGCCAAATTCGCCAAATGGTGGTTGTTTTTGTGATTGTTAGTGAGACTGCAAAGAATGGTGGTAGTGTCGAGGGTGGTAATGTACACTTGGTTACTGAACGGTTTATATATGTTTTTCCGAATCAAATTGCTGACACTCCTGGTGCTCCTGTCACCGTTGAGACACTGCTGTGGAAGTCGGTTGTAACAGGAGGCCAAGTGACGGTACACACGATATAAGAGATTGGTCCTTTATTATATATTTTATCTAATAGATAAAAATATAATAAAGGTACTTGCGTTTTTCCTGAATCTTCTGTTGCATTTGTGGGATATCTCATATATTGTCACTTTGGTTCTGTCATACAAACGCTAGCGGTATAATCTCGAGATTGTGACAACCTGGAACGTTATGACATCAATGGAAAAAATGTATATAAACCGTTCAGTAACTGCGTGTTTGCAGATTCAAAGGTCTCGGGTGGAGATGGTCATAGATTCAATAATGCAAACATCATAAGACAGGATCGGGGAAATCGTTTCTATCGTGAAAATAATGAGAGCAGCGCGTAGGATATAGGACGTGAATTTGAATCGACAAATTTCCTTCTCCACGAAAGAAAAGTAGAGAGAAAGAGAGAGAGAGAGAGAGAGAGAGAGAGAGAGAGAGAGAGAGAGAGAGAGAGAG